AGACTTTACAATAGTATAATAAGTCAACTTAAGAAAGCAAAGTCAATTAATTTATGTTATAGTGATCGCTTGTCAGTGGGGAGGTTACTGGAACGATATGAAAAGGTTCTAGTTTTTAAGGGTTAAAACTAACCCAGTGTTTCATTATGATGGGTTTTTTTTATAGTCCTGGCTATAGAATCGGTCTTGGTCAGGAACATAGCTACTCAAGGCACCAATCGCACACTAACGTTTCTTTACATATGTCATACATACAAATGCGTCGTAATCTTAAACGATAGTGTTGTGGTGTTAAAGTTCTGCTACACATGTACATGTAGGCACAATACCTAGAAAATATCTTTGATTGTGAAAACAAGATTCATCTTGACTGTAGCCGATAGACAATAGGCGTCGACAACAAAGGAACAATAACTGTATTGAACAGCTGCTGTTACATTGAAGGCTTGTTGAAGCTGGGCTGTTGTATTGACAGCATTCATTGTTAGGTTTGACAAAATATTTTTGTTTATTTTGACGAAGACGTAGTTTTGTAATGGGTGCTATTGACTAGTTGTGAATCTTAGTAAGGTCTATAGATAACATTTTCATTTCGTATATCTGGGAGTTTAGTTCCGTAAATATTTCACTAAATAGTACGTTATTAGCTTAAAAGGTAAACGTTGTGCAATTTATTTCAATTGATGTTATATGCGAAGTTTGTATTTTAAAAGAAAATTGAATTGAAGAAAATTTTCATCGATTTCTCTACACGTTGATTGGATAGCATAATGTATTGCAAATTTCAACATGCTGATAGCAAAATTTACGTTGAGTTTCATAATAACATCAGCGACGCCGGCGCCGTACTTTTCCGCGTGCGCCGCTTTCAGTTGGAAAATTACATTTCGTGTAAACTGGTTAACTAAACCAAGCGTTTAACTTGGCAATTCTGTATTCTGATCGTTATTTACGTTGAATTGTCGTAATCATGTTTTGGGACCAATCATTTCACAAACGATGGTAAAATAAACTAATTTCCACAGTTGTATGATTAGAACTGTAGATGTATTGCTACAATTATTGTCAAATGAGTGTTAATGTAATGATTCATTACTCTTATCAGTAACCTGTGTTTTCTTTGGTTTAGTACTACAGTCTGAGTAATTTCCTGTAACTCTATCGATGACTTAAAGAAATGGTAAATGGTAAATAGTGGAAGTTTTAAACGTAAATTAACGTCTGCAAACTTTTATCCTCTGAGCAGAGCATGGAAGCAGTATGTTGCTTCACCTTTTTTGTACTTTAAATTTACTTTTCATACACAGTAGCCTATTCTAATTTAAGCTTCAACGAGTACTATGCAATTGTAGAGACTTTTAACCAACCCAATCTTTGTTGACAATGAAAAGTTTAATATATGCAATTTGTAAAATTATTTTACACTCATCCACAAGTTACAGTCCACAATATGGAGTAAAATAAGCTCAGTAATTGATATGGAAAGATACATAGCACTGTTCTATCCATTTCTTAGTTTAATTACCATTAGATCATAAGCGTGGAAAAACTCGTTAAAATATGTGGAGTCAAAATTAGTAGGGATAAAAGGTTAAGCAATCCCTAATTTTTTCCAATAATTATTATTCACAAGACTACTTCAAATTTTTCTGTAATTTGAAATGGAAACTCGTAAAACTTACTTATAGAATAAATTATGAACTAAATAACTAAATACAATGGTATTCCAACGTAATTAAAAATAAAAATACCGACATCTACTATAAAAATACACTTTATCGAGGGTTTATGAAAAATTGGAATGGTATTAAAAGGCATGTTTTTTCATAAGGCCCAAAATAAGGTAATCTGTATCGTACCCTCAAAAAATGGATTTAGTATCAAACACTCAAAGACTTGCAAATCAAAACTACCCCAAAAGTCCAATTTCATTGGACATCACACAGTTTTTTTTTTCACGAATCCGGGTTTTATGTATACTTTTTAAATACCCTCCCTAATCATAAAAATGCAATAAATAAAAACATGATAGTTATTCATAAAATTCAAAAATATATCAATACAATTAGGCCTACTATCATATTATGGCATAACTAAAACCTGCTGTGGGTTAGTTATATTGAAGTAGAATGAAGACCCTTACAGAGTGCCTTTATTATTTACTGTCATACAAATCCTTGTAAACAGAGCCTGACATTGGAAAGCCTAAGATGAAGATTAAACTTCCCCACAAAACTTCCGCTGTTCCACGCCAACTTGGCGTTGTTCTAATTTGGCAAATGTCCCATGAACTGAACCTTTATAGTAGCCATTGACCACTGATACAACCTTGGACATTTAGATCTGGTGCTTGAATTTATCAGAGTTTAAAATAAAATTATATAGTTTTGTTACATATACATACATATTATGTTTTTAGATTTTTTTTATAATTACATTTTGTGTATGCCTGCTTTTGGACCCCTTTAATGTATAAATGAGAATACAAATCCGTCAGACAACGTTAAGGTTGTGGTAAATTAACAAAAATTATGAATTGATGCTAAAACTTTCAGATAACGGGTAGACCTCTTTCAAGTAGAGTTAATAATAAGTACTTAGGATTGATTGTGATGTAAGTTTTGTGCACCTTTAAAATGCATATTCATCCAAGCTTACATTTATTAGTTTGAAATTTTTAAAATTGAAAAACTTCGCTTGACAGAATTCTAGTTGTTTTACTTAACAACACGAGTAACGGACAACGGACCAATGATATTCAAGGAATAATTAATTGATTGAGAGAAAAGAATTAAAGTTGTAATGTTTCGAACTTCAACTAATCTGTTGTTTATACCAATTTAATTGTTAAGAGTTAATTAGTGTTTGGTACAATGAGTCGTTGCATCACTGCCAGTGCCAATGAGAATTGTAAACGAAAACATAACCTCTCTTAGAAGTTATGAAAAGTGATTTTTAGCAATTAAAAAAACCGCCGTAGGTAAAATAGTGTACACAACTCGCGTAAATAGTCTTAACGCGATCGTTGCGTAAACTACTATTCAATTCTAAGTTAGTGCAAGATTCAATAAATGATTTCTAACTAGCATCAAATAACCAATTTATTGATTTTAAATGGCTTTACGTGTCAACCAATTAATGGGTACCAAAATATTTTTAAAGTATTAATCGTGGAGGGGTACTCATATTTTGAAAATAGGACACTTTCATTTTAATAGAATACTATAATACTATTAATATAATTTTTATATTTTAATACTTCTCTTGACTGTGCTATGACCTTTCGTTTCGTGGGTATCTTTATGCAATCCAGCAAACTCATGTGTATTTAACTAAACTATTCATTACAGTGAAGACAGTTTCAGTATTCTTCCCTATCATCATGGATTTGCAAAAAACGTGAGTAGGGGTGAAGATGGAATTGGCTCCAGCTATAACTCGGGCTTTAGTTAACCGGTTTAGCGAAATGTAATTTTCTGGTGACGTCTGTCCCACACTGTCAGATATTGAACCGTTTCATACCTGGCTGTATTAAACGTTTGCCTATTACGTACTCTTATCTTTGATAGAAATATTCTTCGGTTGAATCAAAATTTGGCAAACAGTACCTGAAGATTTAGGCTACAATCTGTTATAACATAATATTAAGTCAATTTTGAACTTAGGCCTAATATTTGTTGTAGCCTATATTTATATTCTATACCTTAGGAAAATGTAACCGGACTCAACTGATTATTTACTACCAAGTTAAATAACTGGAATATACTCTGTGACATAATTTATATCAAGTGGGTATATGCATCATAATAATGAGGAAACATGAAAATAATTCATAACATGATTATTAATTATACAAATATCAATTTAAGTGTAGATACTCAAAACGATTTCGAAATATGTAGTGTAAATTGCAATTTTTCCTAATCAAAATATAAATTACATTAATTCAATTCAATATGTTTTAATGGCAGATATATTTCTAGAAGGTTCATGACATCTAGAAGGAAAAATCGGCGAATGTCGAATTTTCAATATTTCTTGAATTAAGATGCATAACGGGTTAAGTCTGATGTTTTACTGAGAAAGTTTGCTCTAATAGGGAAACTTTCCAAGAAAAGAGTTGAACCTTCTCATTAAAAATAACGACTGCTTGTAAAATGATCCCTTGTTGTTATGGAACTTGGAGCTACTATGTTTACCTACGCAATATTTTGCATACACCTACATACAATGTCTTGTGTAGAGGAGTAAGTTTTGTAGGTAAATTATCTAAGGCTATTCATAGATTGCACCAAAAATAAACAATAGCTTAAAGCGTAAACACAATGTAAACTGTACCACATGAAAACTACAAAACATACACATTGTAAAATAATGATGAAATTTAATTGTAACATTGTTATCATATTGTTATGCCTTTAATTTAAAGGAATGTATTACCGGTAGTCAAAATGAACGGATCTGGCCCTAGAGCGCAGGGTAAGATTCTGTCACGTAACAAATTAATCTATTAACGTATCTCGTAATAGTAACTGGAATGCAGTCTTAATATGACTAATAACAGTGTAGCAGAGAATTCACAGAAGCTGAGGAGTCTAGACCTCTCCTGTTGTTCTAGGATTACAAACTCTACAGTAACTGTCTGTTGTGTGTTGTTACAGTTCATTCTCTGCTCAACCTGACAGTGCTGAGTCTGTCTGGCTGCAGCAAGGTGACTGATGACGGTGTAGAACTGATAGCAGAGAACCTACAGAAGCTGAGGAGTCTAGACCTCTCCTGGTGTTCTAGGATTACAAACTCTACAGTAACTGTCTGTTGTGTGTTGTTACAGTTCACTCTCTGCCCAACCTGACAGTGCTGAGTCTGTCTGGCTGCAGCAAGGTGACTGATGAGGTGTAGAGCTGATAGCAGAGAACCTACAGAAGCTGAGGAGTCTAGACCTCTCCTGGAGTCCTAGGATTACATACTCTACAGTAACTGTCTGGTGTGTGTTGTTACAGTTCACTCTCTTCCCAACCTGACAGTGCTGAGTCTGTCTGGATGCAGCAAGGTGACTGATGACGGTGTAGAACTGATAGCAGAGAACCTACAGAAGCTGAGGAGTCTAGACCTCTCCTGGTGTCCTAGGATTACCGACGCTGCCCTAGAATACATCGCCTGCGATCTCAATATGTTGGAGGAGCTTACACTAGACAGGTCGGTTTACTTAATTTATTGAGATGATGACAGAGCTAAAGCATACATTTCTTCTATTCTCCATACCCACATTTTCTTTAAGTCCTTAAAATATTTGGCCAATTGGTTGATATATTCTGATGAATCTAAAGTTATATTATACAATTAATTGTACAGCCTATAAGTTGGACAACACAGTTCTGAGTACACTAATGCAACGTTTACATCAACATGATCAGTCTTAACTACTCACTTTAAACAACAGTAGCACATTAAACTATTAATAGAAGTATGTTGGGTCTAGTACAGTCACAACTATGGCAATCAATATCACGTTATAGATAACAACGACTACAACGTGTACACCAACGTGAACTGCATTAACTACTCACTTTAAACAACAGTGACAGATACAACTTAGTGTGATACTTACAACCACTGGCTGTCCAACGTATATCCATATTTTTTTTATTTCAATCTAACGTGTTTTACTTGTCAGAGTTCGTTATTTGCAATACGGTAAACTTACTACTTTTACCAGGTTGCACTGCTAAACAATAACAGCTCGTGTAAAGGCAGTTCAGTTTACAATCAAGTTGGTGTTGTCAGTTTCAGTCAAAGCCTTGTCTGTTACACATGGTTACCACAGCACTGAGTCTATGCAACATACAACGTCATATAAGCTTCATTAACAAACTCCAGTTTGACAATCCTGTTGTAAATGTATAATAATTGCATTAATAAATTATAATTATTATTAGTAATTCAATTTTAATAATTCTTAATAATTATAATTAATGAATTATTAAGTTAATTAAATTATTATAATAATTCACTGATAAATCTTACTGCATTTACAAATTTAACAATGAATGTTTGTAGTTATGCATAGTAAAAAATATTTGAGTTATAAATATTGTATGACAGACTATGCCTAAACTGTTTTGGCAATAATTATGATTAAAATCAACACTTTACTATAAAGTTTATGATCGCATTAGCCTAACCAAAACACTTTGCACTTAGTGTTTTTAGCGAATTTCCCTATAGGGAAGTAGCTATTACCGTAGGTGGCACGGTAAGACCTAGACCCGGGACCGATTTACTTTTTCATTTTGATGTCCCCAGAGGCCAAAAACACCATTCGTTTAAATTTTTATATATGTATATATATATATATATATAGACTTATATATATACATATATATAAGTCAGTAAAGTACATATATATACGTCCGTGAACGCGATAACTTGAGTAATTTTTGTCCGATTTTGATGAAACTTGGTTTAAAGGTGTAAAGCGGGATAAACTTGAATGAGTTCACGAACCAGCATGATCGGACCATGGGAACGGGGCTTTACGGGGGGTTTTATGGGGTAAAAATAGGTTTTTCTCACTTTTGACCCTCAAAACACAAAATTTCCCAATTTCTCTTTAGACCTGTTTAAAGAGCTTAAAAAACAATTAATTTAGTATATAAAAGTATTTTTGTTCGGTTAATAGTAACGGAGAAAATTAAAAAAATTGTAAATTTAAAATTCCCATGTTATTCTTATGGAGTATATTGTCAAATGTTGTAGTTTGCTTGTTTATGGATATATTTTGTATTTTTATCAAATTTATTTATTTTGTACTAAGCTATCAATATTTTACAAAAAAACACACTTTATTAGTTTCCTTGTAGCAGCAAACCTAGGTACTCGTTAAACCTAATGTTATTAAAATATGTTTTATTGAAAATCAATTAAGACAAATGGAAATTCGCTTAGTCGGCAGGTTTGCTGCCGCGGGGGTATTTTTTTATTAGTTGGCCCAAATAAATAAACGACCTGTTTGTTAAAATAGTAGATAATCTATTTACTCATTAATATCGTCACTCGCACGGGTATATTTATTCAATTTTCAGGATGGAATAATTAATTTACAACGATCATATTTTTACAGTTTTATGTTGCTAACTTTATTTGGATGGGTTTAATCCCTGCATTTTCACAAAACGTTGATGGAGTGAAATTTAATAGCGTTTGTGATTCCTTAAATGAAAATTCCCCTCATGTAGGAAATAAGAAAATACGTAGATAGGCTACAGTTTATGATAAGTAACCATCGGTTGGAACCAGCTTTACGATTTAAACGTGATTCTATAGTTATAGTACATCATACACTCGTTAAATGATCGAATGATAAATTCTATAGTTAATTAATAATTGGTTAAGTACCCGTACATCAGCCAGTAAGTACCCGTGTCAGTGGCGCGGCTGGCACCTGCAGCCAGTCTAGATATTCCCGTCTCTTGGACCCAGACCAATACTGCATCTCCGGTCATTGTCACTCCGTCTCGCGTCCCGACTCTACTTTGGGAATGCGGGAATGCAGTGAGCCTTCAGTGTGACTTTAATTTGGGATGCGCTTGCTAGGATCCGAAAAAAATTAGAATAATTCTGTAAAAATGATGATACGTTTTTGTTTAAGTTTTTTTTTTCTGTAGGGCCTAAGTTTAATAAGATCTTTCACTTGTCAAAAAGAATTTTAATTATCTGGATTAGGAAACAAAATTTTAAAATTTGTGTAGGTAATTAACAAAAAATTAAATATTTACGAAAATGTTAAAACAATATTTTTATTTATCACCAAAGCCAAAAAATTGAAGAAGAACACAGTTCAAAGGTACTTGTACTCGAGCTAGTATTCCTAATCTATCTCGGAATTAGTTGATTTGAAGTAACATTCGCCATTTATTTTTCAATATTATAATTACTTTCACAATCATAATCATTTGCATCAATTTTACTCAAAATATCCTTTTTAAATCACTCAAGTAATCATAGATTACACACCAGCAGCCTGGAATGTTTTAAAATAGTTGTGTGGTGGTTGTGTGTACGGTACAGGACTTCTTTAAGTTGTCTTCAAAACGTAAACATTAACAGTGTAAAAGCTAATCTGCGGTTATTTTCAACCAGTGTAGTAAATTGTTTTCTTACAATTTATACGTACTTGACTTATTATCATTATTATACACTTTAGGTTGAAAATCATGAGTGCGGCAAAGCGAAAGAGTGCTAAAACTATTTATGCGCAAAAAGAGTCGATTTTTAGACTGTTGGAAATGTTTAACTGTTTCTTTGTTCATAGATGTGTACACATCACCGACATCGGAGTTGGTTACATCTCTACAATGCTGTCTCTCACGGCTCTCTTCCTCAGATGGTGCTCTCAAGTGAGAGACTTTGGAATACAACATCTCTGTGGCATGAGGAACCTACAAGTGCTCTCCCTGGCAGGTAAAAAACACACCCCTCCACTAGGTACATAATAATACACAGAAAACATACACAGAGGAGTAATGACTGTTTATATATTCTCTAGCTAGAGATTGACGAGGTTATATAAGAGTATATAATCTTTCTTTTGTAGAAAGAGTATATTGTGGGTTAATCTAGTTCTAGATTTATATGTTTATTTAAGTAGTAATGTACTCCATTATTAGCACCTTTTTTCTGTGGATCTGCCAAATCCCCCTGCCCTCGTGTATAGTCTTTTTACTACATAACAATAACATACTGGGTTGTGTTCTCATGGGATAAAATAACAGACAGCGCTTTTAATAGCTTATAAAATAACATACTTTATGTTCAGTGAGTGTAATTTGAGCCTTAATCAATCAGTCCAATACACAGACATGTAAAATATCATATACAAAAATCACTAAAGAACTAAATTGCATTAAAAGCTCAAGCCATTTCAAGTCGTTTAATTAATTTCAAATAATTGTTAAATTACTACCAAACTAGTATGGTCTTACAAGACATTTGTAGTGTAGCATGCAATCTACTATTTATTTTATTTTATTTATCACCTAATTATAACTTAATGATTAGAACTAAAAAACATTAATCTTGGATATAAGATTACAGCGTGAAAACTGAAATTTCAAGAGTTTCTATTCCAGTATTCATACTTTTTCAGTATTTCATACCCACATACTTCATAGTTTATTAAAACTAAATAATAAATTATGTTTGTCTTCTAATGTTGTAATTTGTAATCTTTTTGCCACCTTGATGTACAAGGAAAGCAGAAAAAGGGATACTACAAACTAAACATCTTTTATGTGTTTAGGACTTATTTTAAAGATATTGTTGCGGGCTTAGCAGGTTCTTTACAAATAAAACTTGGCGATTTTATAATAACTATTTATTTACACTAATTATTCTATATTTACAGATTTTAGAATTACCTAACACCTAACTAACCCTATCTAAACCTAGCTAAAGCCTATTCTAATTTACAATGTTTCTACTTACAGCTAGCCTCTACAGGATTTATCACTACTTCTGTTACAACACTGTCACTACACTGTCACTCGAGACACTACACTGTTACTGTTACTCTCACTGTCACTAAACTGTCACTGCCACTAGCACTAGCACTGGTCACCGACGGGCACTTGCTGCGACGATTCTCGGAAGGCTCAACTCAACTCAACTGCCGTGTGCTGGAAGACGGTCCCTTATATAAGTTTGTCGTGGAACATTCTAGAGTGGAGAGTTCGAGCATCCGTTGTTTACAAACCGGCGTAGAAGTAGAAGGTTCTAGGGCCCCTATTGAGGTAGTCCGTTGACATAGGTCTATTGTCTATTAGTGGTGCGTTCTAAGAAACCCGTGTAAACAAACAACCCTTTTGTGACGGCGCTTGGCTATTGTTGCGCGGGGCTCCTGACTTGTAACACTGCCCCCTCCTTAAGACTGTTCTGTCCCAGAACAGATTTCTCTCGAAGTTTGGGATCTTCTGGACCTGTAATGTCTCCGGTTCCCCATGGGTTGTATACGCAGACCACAATATCGATGCCAGTGTCCTCAAAAAGTTCCTGCACCATATTTCTTACAATCCTCCATTCCAGTCCGTCATAACCACATCCCAGCCTGGGAATAGCAAGCTTTTTCATTCCAATCCGGAGGAGCTTGTCTCGCAGGTCTTGCAGGCTTCTCTTCAAAGATTCGTAGGAGGGCTTCTGGCTTGACGTCTCCTTGGTTACGAGGTAGAACAAATGCTGTCTATGGCGCTCCAGGTGGAGGGTTGTGCCAATGGCGGGGCTCTGACGCTCAAGATCTTCGGTCCCTCCAAACTTTTTTCTGAAGACTGTGGCTAAACCTCGCGACGCTCTCAGGTCTTTTGCTACGCAGTGGGCCAAAGCATAATCCACTGGCAAGGTGAAGAGGTCCTTATATATCAGTTTCAATTCCGCCTTTCCACGTTTCTCGGGCACGACGTCTCTTGGCTCGGTTGAGAGGTTCCGAACTTGTTGTTCCTCTTGTTTGCCGTGATCTCCGTAGTAGGGTACAAGCCTGTTGAAATGGATTAATATGGGTTTGCCGTCTGGTTGCCTCTTAATCCGGTAGATGACGTCATTTAGACGGGAAATAACTTCATAAGGTCCTTCCCATGAGTTCTGGAGATTTGGCGAATATCCACGACGCCTTCGGGGATTGTGTAGCCACACGAGGTCTCCAGGTGTGAACCCTCCTTTCTCGGCCTTCACGTCGTACCTCACCCTCATCCTGTCACTTGTTCCAGATATTTTGCGACGGACTTTCTCGTACATCATCTTCCCGTTCTTTGACAAGGGAGCCACATCCTGCCACGATGATCTTCCTTTATTGCCCATCTTCCACTGCATAATGTGCCTTACTTCTGGGTTCCCCTTCCGGTCCTCTGAAAGCTTCTTCTCGTCCTTTTCGTCGTTAATGACGATCACACGACGAACCAATGCACTGTAGTCTTCCTTGCGCGCACAATGATTGCCACTGTCTCCACATTGTCTTCTGAAGAGTGCGTCCGCCTTCTTATGGCCCGGCCCAGTGCGATGATTTGACTCGAAGTCATACTCCTGCTTCGATCCTGGAGGGATTGACTGAGAATTAGTCCGGGGACGCCCCATCTCTCCACACTTCCAACAGCGTGCCTGCCGGTGACGATTTTTGAGTGCCTCCAGAACTCTCTCTACCAGGTCCTCGATGTCCAGTGGAGTTGTAGGTTCTGCGTCTGCCACAAGGACTCGAGCCTGACCTCTCACCGACTGCCGTACAGCCTCGAACTCCAGCGCCTGTGTCAGTGCGTCACTCCGTGTCTTTGGTCTGGCGAGCTTCACTGCCTGTTGAGTCTCGGGTTCACGTAATCCGTCTAGGAAATTATCCACCGCCAAACTCTCGTAGACATCATCCGTGACCGATGGATAGGCGTTTCTCACCATGCGAGCAATGTCGGCTTCAAACTCCTGGAGTGACTCGCTGGGCTTCTGGATCCGGTTCCGCAGCTGTGATCGGTAGAGCTGGTCCATATGACGACGTCCAAAGCGCATGTCCAATCTTCTTACTAATTCTGCGAAATTCTTCCGCTCCGCCATTGGCATAGCATGCAGAACAGCTAATGCATCGCCCCGTAGTGCAAGGCACAGTGCTGAAGCCTTTGTCTCCTCGGTCCACCCATGAACCATAGCCGCTGTCTCGAAGAGAAGCATGTAGTCCTCCCAGGGAGTTTTACCATCGAAGTGAGGAACGATGTTCTGAGGGGCAACGGCAGCAATGGTGGGCGCTGGCTTGGAGATCGTTTCTAAGGCGTTATCCTGCTGAAGTTCGCCAGTGCTAGCCGATGACGCAGGTGTGAAGCTCCCCGATGCAGCCATTTCCTGCCTAAGCTTAACTAACCTATCTTCTAGATTCTTTTCTATACAATTAAATTTCTCATCCATTTCATTGATCCTACTTTCTAAATCATCAACTTTGCTAGAATACTCATCTAACTTGTTCAGCATTTTATTAAAATCAGATGTTTCAAATAAAACATTATCTAGGTCTTCACCTGCATCAATTAAAGCTTGTTTAAGGCGTGCCTGAAGGGCTGATTTAGTTCCACTAGTATCTAGATCTCGTTCTTCTAATTCTCTCCTAAGATCAACTACTTTTAACTCATCAAGTTTCACACCTTTGAAAGCCATTTTTATGCCAAACAATTAAACTAATTTTACAATAAATAATTTTTTCCTTTGTAAACAAATTTACGACACAAATTACTAATATGTAACAAAGACCCTGATTCTTACTAATATCTAATACAACTAAAATTAAACTCAATATTTTACAACTGCAATCGCCAAAATAATGCCGCTTTCTGACACCAATTGTTGCGGGCTTAGCAGGTTCTTTACAAATAAAACTTGGCGATTTTATAATAACTATTTATTTACACTAATTATTCTATATTTACAGATTTTAGAATTACCTAACACCTAACTAACCCTATCTAAACCTAGCTAAAGCCTATTCTAATTTACAATGTTTCTACTTACAGCTAGCCTCTACAGGATTTATCACTACTTCTGTTACAACACTGTCACTACACTGTCACTCGAGACACTACACTGTTACTGTTACTCTCACTGTCACTAAACTGTCACTGCCACTAGCACTAGCACTGGTCACCGACGGGCACTTGCTGCGACGATTCTCGGAAGGCTCAACTCAACTCAACTGCCGTGTGCTGGAAGACGGTCCCTTATATAAGTTTGTCGTGGAACATTCTAGAGTGGAGAGTTCGAGCATCCGTTGTTTACAAACCGGCGTAGAAGTAGAAGGTTCTAGGGCCCCTATTGAGGTAGTCCGTTGACATAGGTCTATTGTCTATTAGTGGTGCGTTCTAAGAAACCCGTGTAAACAAACAACCCTTTTGTGACGGCGCTTGGCTATTGTTGCGCGGGGCTCCTGACTTGTAACAATATTATTTAAGGTTTAAAAACAATAAAAGAGGTACAGTAGGGATATTGAAGGGATAGTAAATGTTAATAGATTGTTTGTAAAGGACCACATTATAAAACATTTTAGGATATCGTCCACAAAATTTTACAAGATGATTTTGGACATTTAAAACTAACTATAGTAAACAACTTATATCCTGTAACATGTTTACGTTCACAATATACAGTTCATTGTTAAAACCAAACCATCCTATCCTCTCTACCTCCTAATGGGGGGTTTTAGTGGCAGATTCAATTAACGGTGGCTCTAAAAGGATCTCTGCTGATACAGTGGATCAGATACCCAGGTAATGGGTTGGTATTTCGTTTTTAATTAAGTATTGGCATTGACTATAGTCAATGGTATTGGTCTTTTGGAGTGCTAAGGTTTATTTATAGGCCTGGATATATTTATTTATTTTTAAACAGTAACTTTTGTTTTTATATGTTTGTATTTTTTACTATAAAAAGAAAAAGAAGATATTATGGTC